TCACAATAATAAATAATCACTTCATGTTAAAATTTGAGTATCATATATGATCATCAGTCTTTTGAGGAACGTTTATTCGTTCAATCATCATTGTATTGCATTGCATTATATGTTTTGAAACTACAGAGCTTTGATCATAAAACTAAGCATTTAAATATCATCTTACTAAGACAAATTATGGAAGTTACAGGGTCACAACTGATATGCATAGTTATTTTATATAAGTATCTGCTATAGTGTTATAAAGATCTCATTTATTTACATTACAAGCTATCAGAATTTATTTTTCTCTTTGGCCATATAAATATCAGCATCTGCACCAAATTGCATCGGAATAAAACTGAGGTGTTTTTTCCTCCATATTCTCACTATATGTGACCCTGGAGCACAAAACCAGTCTTAAGTGTGTATGTTGTTAGTACAGTACAATATTTGGCCGAGATACAACTATTTGAAAATCTGGAATCTGAGGGTGCAAAAAAATCGAAATATTGAGAAAATCGCCTTTAAAGTTGTCTAAATGAAGTACTTAGCAATGCATATTACTAATCAAAAATACATTTTTGATATATTTATGGTAGGAAATTTACAAAATATCTTCATGGAACATGATCTTTACTTATAAGTGTCAATTTTTCAAAATTGAGATTTATACATCATCTGAACAAGCTGAATAAATGAGCTTTCCATTGATGTGTGGTTTGTTAGTACAGTACAATATTTGGCCGAGATACAACTATTTGAAAATCTGGAATCTGAGGGTGCAAAAAAATCGAAATATTGAGAAAATCGCCTTTAAAGTTGTCTAAATGAAGTTCTTAGCAATGCATATTATTAATCAAAAATACATTTTTGATATATTTATGGTAGGAAATTTACAAAATATCTTCATGGAACATGATCTTTACTTAATATCCTAATGATTTTTGGCATAAAAGAAAAATCGATCATTTTGACCCATACAATGTATTTTTGGCTATTGCTACAAACATACCCCAGCGACTTAAGACTGCTTTTGTGCTCCAGGGTCACATATCATACTATATGAGCCATAAAAGCCTGATGCATCAAATATGATACTCAACAAAAAATCACATATGCAACCTACATTTCAAAAAATTAGATTTTTCTGACTATTATTTCATATGTCAGGCTTTACAGGGTTAAAACAGACAACACACCTTGTTACTAAGAGCCTCAATTTTGTCCTGATCGAGTCTGTGTTGGCGGTTGCTGGCCTCCATGGTGGTTGCGAAGTGCTCCACTTCTCGGTTTAGCACGCAGACCACGTCTTCAAACGTCCCCGCCTTCACCTCCAGCTCCTGGCAGCGACGGCCCAGATCCGCCACCTTGGTCTTCTTGCTGTGGAGCTGGAGCTCCAGCGCTGCGCCCACCGAGCTGGGCAGAGGAGTGAAGGACGTGGGCAGCGTGGCGGCGGGCGGAGGGGGAGGCGGCGGCGCGCCGGCGGAGGAGGAGGAAGCGGAGGATGAAGAGGAGGGCACCCCCTTCACGGGAGGTCCGGTCGGGCCCGGGATGGCGCTCAGCTGACTGACTCTGGCCTCTAGGTCTCGGAGCTCCTGGTGAAGCTCGTGTGCTTTGTGACCGGCCAGCTCCAGACTTTGGGGCTGCAGGCCCTCCAGACTGACCTTCATGCCCATGATGTAGTGCAACAGCAGGTTGAGATGTTCGTGAGCACAGGCACGCTCGTGATCGTGGATCTTCTCCTTCTCCACCTCAAAGGGAAACCAGTTAGATTAAACTTCAGCATGTAACTCGTGAATGATTCCTCAAATCATTTGGTTTGCATCGTGCAACTGCATTATGAGTTGAGTTCTGCACAGGAAATCCTAGCTCACTTTTTTTCAGGAATTTTTTCCAGAAAATATAAAAGTCTAGTTTTATATTTGTATCTGTGAGAAATAGTGATATTTGATACATTTTAATTATATAAGATCTCCTTTAATGTTAGCATTTATTAATATTTTGAATGAACTCTTATTTTTATATTTTCAGTTTTCGATTTCATTTTAGTTTAAGTTTTGATATTTTTATGTGCTTGTCATTTTTATTATTTTTTAAATATTTCTATTCATTTTTTATTTATTTTGATTTCAACTTCTAGTTTTACATTTGTATCTGTACGAAACAGTGATATTTGATCAATTTAAATTGAGTAAAAAGTTTTTTAAGTTTAAGTTTTTGTAATTTTGTTATGTGCTTTTGTCATTTTTTTTTGTATTAATATTTTTATTTAGTTTTGATTTTGATTTATTTCAGTTTTAGCCATTTTAGTACTTCAACTTAGTTATTTTATTTCAGTTTGTTGCCAAGTCGTTTAAGTTTTTTTTTTAAGTTTAAGTTTTTCATTTAATATTTTTTACTTTATTTCAATTAAACATTTTAATAGTTTTATATATTTTAAGTAAAACTAGTCTATTTCCTCACATACCAGATTAATTTCAGTTCCACTGCTATTTTCTGAACATTTTATTCTTTATTATTTTCTTTCACTTTAATTTTAGTTAAAATTTTAGTAATTTTGTTGTTTTTTTTGTCATTTTTATTAGTTTTTTTAATCTGTCTATATATATATATATATATATTCCTTGTTTTGCCTTGCCTGTTTTCGCGGTTTCTGATCTTTGCCTGTTTTCCTGGATTTCTCCCTCTCGTCTCGCCCCTGTGATTCTGTCTGCCGGTCGGTGACCTACGCTAGCCCTGGGACTATTCTTGTGTTTTGCCCGCCATATACCTGTTTGCCATTGTTTGACCCTGCCTGTTATACCACGTCTCTTGAATAAAGCTTGCAAATGGATCCACACGTCTCACGTCTCGTCAGCCCCGTTACAGTTTTGGTTTTAGCTTTAAGACCAATAATAACATTTTGCTTTAAAAAAAAATGAACCCTGTGTTGTATGTACATTATGCTGTACACTGAGGTTTGGGATAGAGAGAAAGAAAAGTATAGAATGATATTCCAGACAATATTGAAAAGGCAAGTGCAAAGGGATTGCGATTCCATTTGAGTTTTGTGCGGGTTGGAGCAGGACGCGGAGAAAGTGAAACAACAAATGGGTGATTTTCTATTGCTATTCAAAAATGACAAAATCATAACTTGTAATACTTGGAAATGCAATTGCAAATGGACTTTGCGTTTCCATTTTAAATTTGCCAGACATGTTACATACATGGAAAAGAAAATGGAAACACAAATGCATGATTTGCAATTGCGTTTGGATTATGTCACAATGTATGCATCCACAAATTGAAAACGCAACTGCGAATACTATTTGCAATTACTTTTGAATATTGTCCGGAATATCATTCCATAGAAAAGGGTAGTTCATGACCATTTTTTTGACTCCAACTGATTGTGTTTATTATTTGTAAACTTGTTTTCAAAACTGTACAACTATGTGTTAAATTATAGGATTCTAGATATGAAAACTGTACTTACTGACATGTCGCAGCCAACCACATGATATCTGCATGGAGTCCTGAATTTGCTGCAGAACTTGATGTGGTCAACATACTAAAACGAGGAGAGCAAAGAAATTTAAATATCGACCATCCGTACATACAGTTTTGCTTGTTCTGTTTTCTTGTTCTGTTACTGAATAATACTGTAATTTTGTGTGATATGTTTTTGATTACCACACCTTTTCCCTGGGGATTTTCTTCTTCGCACATCCTTCACAAATCATAGGATATTTGGGACAGATCTCATCATGGGCCTGTGAAAGCATCATTTTGTAACATAAAATGCTTTTTTCCCACCCTTCAAATGAATACATCTTTTCTCAGACCACTCACTTACCTTGATGTTTCTGAAGTGAAATGGTTCTTTACAGTACTTGCAGTTGAGAGTTCTCTCAGGACACTCGCGATCATTATGACGCTCCTGTTCGTTCAGTCTAATGAGCTCTTTGCACAAGGGACACGGCAGAATCATGAACTCACACTTCCCTTCATGGCTCAACTACAAAAAACAAACACAAGTTACCAACTGAATAATGAGAAACTCTCCATTTATACTGAATATGTATGCATATGTAGTGTCTAAATACTTCTGCTCCTGTATATCAATAAAGCTAATGTTAATGGACACAACCTCATAATCTTTAATACTGCCTTTCCAGGAGCAGCCTTCGTTGAAGCACACAGCTGGAAGATTTTCAACTTCTCTTCTGGCAGCATTGTCAGGAAACGCCTGCAAGAAAACACAGAGAAAGTGCATGCTCTGCAGTAAAGGTCTGGCTTTAAATCACAAGTCTGGATTCACATTAAGCAAAGCTTTTGCGCTTACGCAGCCTGGTTTGAGGATTGACGTGGGCTCTTCGAAGATGTCCTCCTTGATACAGGCATTACATTTCTGTGGTCCTGATCTAAAATGGCAATGCAACACACATTAGCTATTTTGACATCAATATTTTTGGCATCAATGCTTAAATATTTGTTGTGATGTGAAATTGTATTTTTTATGTATAAGCACTTATAATTACTATCATTATATATATTAGATTCCAAGGTAAAGCTATAAGAAAAAATATTGCATACAAAAAAAACTAAAAACTTTTATACCTCAAAATTACACTATTGTCAAAAGTTTGGGGTCAGTAAGATTTGTTGGGGGGAAAAAATACTTTTTACAGAAATTATGGATTAAATTGATCAAAAGTGACCTATAAAACACATGCATATGTTTGAACATTATTAGAATAGAATATTATTATATGTTGAATATATGCACATATATATGTTTAGAATATGTTATTTATATACATATACATGTATATTCTTATTGCTGTATAATATTCAATACAATTAATAATTGGTTTTCTTAATATTATAGATATTATTATATTACATGTTGGATGAATGCATAATCACACACACACACACACATATTTATTTTTGTATAATATAATATATTATA